CCTGGCGGCTCCCAGGTGTTCCCAGTGCAGAATCTGCTGCCACCACTTGGGCAGTGGTATGACTATGGCTCTTTAGAATGTTCACAGTCAGCTGGTATGCTGGCAGGCTGCCAACTTTTTTCCTGAGTAAAGAAAAAGAGAAAAGAAAATGTGTCTTACGCTGCTGTTGCTGGAGCTGAGAAACTCTCTGTGCCCTCTGCTTCTGCAGGGGGTCTTCAGCACCCAGACCCCCTTACAGGTGGAAACATTCAGCAGGAAGTCCATTGGCTGAAAGCCCCCTGTTGGAGCAGAGGAAATGTCTATGCTGCAGCCAGGAGCATGCCTCCCAGCCCAGGCTGACAGACTCACGCTAACTCGGCTCCAGGTAGCGCACTAAAATTAGCAGTGTGGACACTGCGGCTCCAAGCAGAGATCCAGGCTAAACATCTGAGCTTGGACCCAGGGGGTTGCTGAAAGGCAGTATGGCTAAGTGGATGAGATTTGAATCTTCCCTATGAGTAGGATGACCAGGCAGCAAGTGTGAAAAATCGGGACGGGGGTGGGGGGTAATATAAGAAAAAGACCCAAAAATCGGGACTGTCCCTATAAAATCAGAACATCTGGTCACCCTACCTATGAGCTACAGGGTTGTGAGCCCAGCTCTGACAGAAGTGATTTTATGCAACCTCTCAAGTACCCCAGTTGCAAAATGAGGGAAATGGTATTTGCCTGCTTCCTAAAATAGGGGTGTGAGATCTTGCTCCATAACAATGGCTGTGAAGTACAAAGAATTATTAACACCAGTCAACAGAAGATCTTTTGGCTGCCAACCAGCCCACTTTCCCTTAGGCCAAAAGGGTCTTGGGGGTGCCTCTGTGTCCTGTCTGGAGCTCTAGCTCTTTGCCTACTATGTAGGACAGAGGGAGACTTGGGGGCACACTCATGCAGTTGGCATTTAAGAACTCTGTGGGGTTACAGCATGCTTAGTGCAGATAGACAACCGGTAGAATTTAGAGCATCTCTAAATCCACCGAGTACACGAAAATGGCAATTTTCAGAGGCTTATAACTCAGCCAAATCTGGCTGGATTTTAACAGGGACAGAAAAAGCATCTCTCTGACTCCAGGGCTATCCCCACGCCAAATTTCAAATTCCTGCTTCAAAGCATGCACTCGCTGGTGCTCTTAAAATGTTTCCAAATGTTTCTATTTTTTCCTGATCCTCTTGGAAATGGCTGCAGAGTTTTTGCTAAACTTTTCCCCACAAAATATAAATAAATCAATAAATACAAAAGTGAGTCCGAAGAAGAGTGCAAACAAAGTTAGTCTCCAATGGTTAAAGTGTAGCAAAGTTATAAGCAAAGGGGAAAAGAAAAGATCAAATTTCTTAATTTTAGGATACAGATTTATGAGAGTTTCTTTCGAGAGGCAGTGTGTTCACGTGGATTGAGCAAACGACATGGAGCCTGCAATTACTACGTTACTAAACTTCTATGTCTTTCCCCTTCTGCAAAATGGCAGAACTATAAATGTTATCTACCTCATAGGGCTGTAGGAAACATTAACCTCTTGGCAGTGATGTACTGATACCATGTAATAAGAACATAAGAATGGCCATATCGGGTCAGACCAATGGTCCATCTAGCCCAGTATCCTGTCTTCCAACAATGGCCAATGCCAGATGCTTCAAAGGGAAGAAACAGAACAGGGCAATTATTGAGTGATCCATCCCTTGTCATTCAGTCCCAGCATCTGGCAGTCAGAGACTTAGGGATATTCAGAGCATGGGGTTGTGTCCCTGACCAGGTTAGCTAATAGCTATTGATGGATCTATCCTCCATGAACTTATCTCATTCTTTTTTGAATCCAGTTATATTTTTGGCTTTCACAACATCCAGGCAATGAGTTCCACAGGTTGACTATGCATTGTCACAACAAAAGGATACAGATCTCCCATCCTTTCCTCAAAGACATTTCTCAACGTTTGTTCCCTCCCATATCACCCACATGCCCCAACCACTGGGCGCCTTCTTTAAGTTCTCTCAGCCAGCCCTATCTCCCAGTTCTTTCCTCCACTGATCAAATGACCACCCTATGTTCCTTTCTCTACCAGACTTCCACCCATCCACCTTCCAAATGTGGTTCCATCTGCTCCTCCTGCCCCAACACATGCCCTCCCCTTCAAGTTCTCATTCCAACACGTCTATCCTTGCTCATCTCTCTCTGACCCTCCAACTCCCACCTCTATTCCCCCCAAATCCCTCTAAATTTGAGACAGCTTTCCTAACAAATAAAACATTAAATTAACCCCCTTGGGCATGATTTATTCAGGGGGTGGAATTTGAAATTACCAGCCCCTGTATCATGGAACTTTTTTTTAATTACCTGCCCAGTGCAGCTAGTTATATGACCTTGCACAAGCAGCAGTTTGACCCAAGTCCCATCTGCAATACCATTTTACCCTCATCTCTGCTTACCTCACACCAGATACCTCGGTTTTACCTCAGCTGACTGACCAGACTGTGGGCTGTTAGGGACCATCACTTGTAAGATCCTCAGCTGCAGATTGTTCCTCAGATTCCAATATTAAACCTCCAGGGGACTTTTTAAACTGACCTCTGACCCAGAGTATGTCTAACATTGCAACTGTGCTGGTGTAGCACTTTCATGCAGAGACTTCCTACATCAACAGAAAGGGGGTTTCCGACAATGTAGTTAATCCACCTCTCCAAGAGGTGGTAGTTTGGAAGAATTCTTCTGCTGACCTAGCTGTGTCTCCAGTGGGTGTTAGGTGAACCTAACTATGGTGCACAGGGTGCTAAATTTTTCACGTCCCTGAGCTATGTAGCTAGTTCGATCTAATGTTTAGGTGTAGACCAGGCCTCAGATAAAAAGCAGTCCCAAGTGACAGTTAATCAGATTAATATTTTGTTATTTAACCAGAGCACCAAGAATTAAACTTGCAGTAGTGTTTAAGGGGCAGTCTTTTATGTTTAATAAAGACAGTGCTCTCCTGCTCCCACCTAGAGGTGTCTGCGCTGAGATTCCTGGATTTCATTAGGAGTGTACTAAGTATTTTGCTCTCTTTTTAAATTTTGGTTACAGCTAAGAGCTGGAATTACTGACAGACCCTTCTTATAACTGATGCCTACTTCCAAATTTTAAACTTTAGACATTTTAGTGTGGTTAGAATTCTAAAAACAGAAAAGTGTTTATTTTTTTCACCCTCCCTAATTCACAATCAATTTAAAGGTTTTGTCATCAACCTTCTCAAAAACAATCAACTTTAAGTAGACACTCAACACAAGAGGCAGTGGAGTCTTGTGGCTAAGGTGCTGCACTGGTACTCAGGACATTGGGGCTCAATTCCCAACAATGCCACACACTTTTTGTGTTACCATGGGCAAGTCATTGATTTTGTATCTCTGCCTCAGTTCCTGACCTGTAAAATGGGGATGTAATAGTTCCTTTCTCCCAGCCTTTGTGTATCTTGTGCATTTAGATGTTAAGCTCTTTTAAGACATGGAGTGTCTCTCACTACATGTATGTACAGCACCTAGCACAGCAGCATCCTCATCTTGATTATGGCCTCTAGACACTAACACAGTAGGCTGAGGAGATAGAGGAGGGTTATGTAAGGGAGATCTTTCCTCCTTCTGGGGGGACTCTTTGTACCCTTTCTTCTTGCAAAACTGTACTTTGTTCCAAAACTCACATCATCTGTGAGCCATGATATCCCTGTAAGTTTTCTTCCTTGTTTGAATACCTCAGGGTAAAGGCTGGCTGTTGGGATGCTCAAGTCTGGACATTCAGGGATGCACTAAGCATGATCAGTGCTTCACAAGGTGTCCTTTTCTTGAGCCCAATTGACATGGCTATCGTGCTGGGCAAAGCTGTGGAAAGTATGGAGACTTAGGTGCCATTGAAATTCACATCATGCAGCAGCTTTTGAGTGGAAAATACCCCCTGGACTAAAGCTATGTCTTTATAGCGGCATAGTCAAAAGCATCATGAAATTTCTTCAGACCATTAGATGTAGAGTGAATAAAGGGTCAAATCCTGAGCTGGTGTGAATGAGTGCAGCTCTGGGATTTGGCCCATAATCTGTAAAATTACTTTAAAAAACCATGAGCTGTTCTGCAGACCACCATAAATTAAGGCATTTGGAAGCATCCAGAACTTTGTTCATTAAGTGAAAATATAATTAACCAATTTATATACCAAGTTATCATTAGCTTTTCAACCTAAATTGCACAAAATAAGTCTTCTTCAGATGTACAGTACTAAAGATATCCATGTAACAAAGCAATCAGCATGCAGCAATCAGTTCTGCATGCTCTTATCTCTACTGAGCATTACATCGCTTCACATGTTTTCAGTGTGACCTCTCTTTTTAGTCTAATCCACGGGTCGGCAATGTTTGGCACACAGCTCACCCGGGTAAGCACCATGGCGGGCTGGGCCAGTTTATTTACCTGCTGACGCTGTAGGTTCGGCCGATCGCGGCCCCCACTGGCTGCGGTTCACCGTCCCAGGCCAATGGGGGCGGCGGGAAGCAGCGCGGGCGAGGGATGTGCTGGCCGCGGCTTCCCGCCCCCCCATTGGCCCAGGAAGGCGAACCGCGGCCAGTGTGGGCCGCGATCGGCCGAACCTGCCACATCAGCAGGTAAATAAACTGGCCCGGCTCGCCAGGGTGCTTACCTGGGCGAGCCGCGTGCCAAACGTTGCCGACCCCTGGTCTAATCACAATATTTTCAACATAACTTTAACATTCCTTTGCAAGCTCTCCCCAACTCAGTATGCTAGGATTTTAAAAATGAAAGCGATCAAGTGAGCAAAATGTATTTCTACATATACAGATCAGGATATCTAATCAAAGTACTAAGCTACTTGTACAAACCAAACTTGCACAGAAGGGTTTCCTGTCACATATGAATGAGTATTGAAAATACAACATTCAGAAAAACTTGCAAAGAAGAAGGTGGGATGGAGGGGAGGAGAGTAACAAAGTAAAGTAATTACCTATCTCCCTTTGGTTTTCTTTTCTGTACTGTCTTCCCTTTGGGTCGTCTCTCACTTCCTAAACAGGGGCTCCCACCAGGGCCTGTTACCCGTATTGATTCAAGGCCTTTGGAAGATTTCTTAAAAGTAAATTCCACTGGTTCGCCTTCCTTTAGGCTTCTAAATCCTTCCATGTAAAGCTTGCTCTGTAAATAGGAAAAATATTCTTGGTTACTATTGCCTTAAAAACAAAGTTGACAATTATAATAACAGGACAATATTAACTTTCCTGTTATGTTTATCCTACAAGACACAGGTTGAATTGGGTTCCCTTAATAAGATCTACTAAAGATACTACACTTATGGTCATGGGGAAAACATTCTTCAAACTTAAGAAATAATGAGATTCTCTTTTTGGATATGAACAAAATTGAAATAATAATTTCCTTATTCTCTGCTGAATTGATATGGGCTTTTGGGCTGCACAAATCTAAAAGTGCTGTATGCTAAAAGTGCTGTATGCTCATACAATTCTCTGTAGAAACTTTCTGCAGTTTAAGGCATTTTAATAGAAACAGAGAAGACAAAGCTAATAGATTTTAAAAAAAATAGGAAGAAAAGAGAGCAAATGCTCCCTCTCTAAGTGAACCTAAATATTGAGTTCTAGTTGATGATCAAAATGCAACCTTTAAAAGAAAAGGGGGGGAAAGGATAGATTAATTTTCAAACTAGCAGAAGTAAAGAATAATGAGCAAAAAGAATGAAAAAGGAGCTACCAACAAAATGAATTGCAAAAGGTAACTCAGTTACTCCAAGTGAACAGCTAAGTTAGCATTCATTGCCAGTAAAACTTATCTTGTTAGTATGATCTTAGTATGGATTTATTCTTTGATCCAAGAAAAGCAAATCATTATCACCAGGGTCAGAGAAACAAAACAGCAACACTGATAATCTTTTGGTATATGCTTCTAGCGTGAAATCCTGCACCAATGAAGTCAATGGGAGTTTTGCAATTGACTTGAATGAGGCCAGGATTTCACTCCTCATCTCAAATCCTCTGAATGCTAAATAATACTAAGTCTATATCCAAGGATAAATCTGCTGAATAAAACACTTGGATGAAATGGTTAGCAAGTTAAGTGAAACAGAATAGAATATAAAAAGGAAGACAATAATAAGACTAAGGTCTTATTAAATGTTTATTCAAAATGTTATATTTAACACAGACAAGATTAGTGGGACTATAAAGTGAATATTACAGAATCACTGGCAATACTCAATACTTGAACTGGGCTTTTATGTTTGTTATAAAAACTAAAGGGAAGGGGAACACTTTTTTGTTGTTGTTATTGGCTTGTGAATACTTCAGAATAGACAACACCTCTGAATTGACTCATACAAGCTACCCAGCCAGTACTCTCTTGGCTAAACCATAGAGTCAACAAAGGGAAGCAATCTTAACTGTGGAGGTAGGATGCGCTATAGTGGTCTGGAAGGTAGCTGGACACTAACGCCATCAATGGTCAACATTTTTCCATTCAACCACATATAGGGTAGAGCTGGAGAACACCAAGGGATGCTCTTGACCACATATAGACAGCAAGAAGTCCAACATTGCAAGGGAATTGGAGGGACAGTGAGTCTATACTAGCCTGCTAGGACCCCCATTTGTGTCAATTGAGCCTGGCATCCTGTAAGCGTGCGGGACTCACCCCTGCGGTGCCTCCTGCTGGTCTCTTCTGGGAATTAGCTCATCGACCCAGGAGCGCCCTTTGCAGGCTGGTGTCCCACTACCGCTTGGTCCCCCTGTCCCTCCTGGACCCGGTGCCCTGTTGTCTGGGGTGTTGCCCCCTGGCAATAACCCCTCACAGCTCTGGGTCTCCCCCTCCCAGGGGGAACCCCCACTCACTATCCCCACTTCGCTCAGTCTTGGCTACTGCCCAGTCTCCATCTAGCCCCCGTTCACTGGGGCAGACTGCAATATAAGCCACTCATCACAGGCAAAGGGGTTTGGACCTGCTGCCTCTGCCTACTCCTGGGCTGCTCCCTGCAACCCAGTACCTAATAGGCCTTACCAGGCCTGGAGCCTGGGGCTTTCCTAGGCCAGAGCTCCCCAGCTCCCTTGGCCTTTCCCCAGCACTGCTCCACTCTAGGCACTTAGTTAAGCTCCCTGCAGCCAGGCCCTTCTCTCTCTGAATACAGAGAGAGACTGTTGAGCTCCTGGCTCCCAGCCTTTTTATACAGGCCAGCTGTGACCTGATTGGGGTGTGGCCCAGCTGCAGTCGCTTCCCCCATCAGCCGAGGCTTGCTGCTTTCCTAGCAGCAGCCCTCTCACAGTCTGAGCCCTCTCCCAGGGCTGATTTCAAGCCCTTCAGAGCCGGAGCGGGTGACCACCCCGCTACACGTCCCCACTGTAATATCTTCATTGGGAAGTACTGGGAGGAAGGCTAGTCTTGTGGTTAAGGCATGGAAGCCACACTGAGACAGGAAGACTTGGCTTCTGTTCCTATCTCTGCAGACTTCCTGTGTGGGCTTAGGCAAATGAAGTCACTTAATTTTTCCATGACTCAGTTTCCCTATCTGTAAAGTAGACACTATCAAATACTTACCTATCTCACAGGATACTGTGAGATTAAACTAATGATTGTAAACCTGTTTGAAATCCTCATTTGGAAGAAACTATGTGAGTACACACACAGGCATGCACACAATAAAAGAACTCCTACCTACTGGGCCCTGACAGTCTACTGAGCAGTGGCCATTCATGGTGGTACGGGAAATATATTATTGGATTCCAATGCACTATGAGTCACAATATCAGTACAGGCTGACAAAGGGATCTGGCTGCCTTTAGGGAAGGAATTGCAGGTTTTTCAGCAGCTACAAGCACAGCAGATTCATGGATCCACTGGTTAGGATGAGGAATGCTTGGGCATGACCGATCCTGCAGCTTGGTTGTTGGACCAAGATGTCGTAACAAGTGTGATGCGTGGAGCAAACACTGGCATCTCCTGGTCACAGGGGGGATGTCTGCACTGCAGCTGGAAGCGAGTCTCCCAGAGTAGGTAGGTAGACTGGGTAACTCAGCTTGAGCAAGGGCGCTAACAATACCAGCATGGATGATGTAGCACAAGTGGCAGCTTAGGCTAGCAACTCAAGTCCAAGCCCGCCTGACCCCTGGCTCTGAGCTCGGGGCTAGCCATAACAGCCAGTCTGCTAGTTTTAGCATGCTAGCGTGAGCAAAGCTCCTGCAAGTCTGTTAACCCACACTGGGAGGCTCACTCCCAGCTGCTGTGTAGATGGCCTTAGTGTCCACTGTTTAAAAGGAAAAGACATGAAAGGGAGGAGTTTGCAGATATCTGTACCCCGCTTTATGCTTTTGGCAGTTGCTGGGAATGAAGGTAAAAGGTACTGATAAGGATGATCCAAAGTGATCAAAGTGGAATGCAGTATTTATTATATTAGCTTGTGTGATCTGCAAAAATGATCCAGGAAGAAGCACTCTACTTTAAAATATTGGGATAGAATTAGGGGGACTCATGCCACATGTGTGTGATTTCCAGGTGCCATTATAAATTCACAGTATGAACAGGGGAGGACACATTCAGCCATTGATTGAAATGGACTCCTGCCTCCAACTGGCCCATGATACAGGCCTTCACTCCCACTTCATAGAATCATAGGACTGGAAGGGACCCCGAGAGGTCATCCAGTCCCCAGTCCCCTGCACTCATGGCAGAACAAAGTATCTAGACCATCCCTGACAGGTGTTTGTCTAACCTGCTCTTAAAAATCTACAATGATGGAGATTCCACAACTTCCCTAGGCAATTTATTCCAGTGCTTAACCACCCTGACAGGTAGGAAGTTTTTCCTACTGTCCAACCTAAACTGCCTTTGCTGCAATTTAAGCCCATTGCTTCTTGTCCTAACCTCAGAGGTTAAGGAGAACTAATTTTTTCCCCTCTTCCTTGTAACAACCTTTTATGTACTTGAAAACTGTTACGTCCCCTCTCAGTCTTCTCTTCTCCATTTTTTTCAATCTTCCCTCATAGGTCATGTTTTCTAGACCTTTCATAATTTTTGTTGCTTTTCTCTGGACTTTCTCCAATTTATCCACATCATTCCTGAAATGTGGTGACCAGAACGAGACACAATTCTCCACTTGAGGCCTAATCAATGAGGAGTAGAGCAGAAGAATTACTTCTTGTGTCTTGCTTACGACACTCCTGCTAATACATCCCAGAAAGATGTTTGCTTTCTTTGCAACAGTATTACAATGCCAATGTTCCCTCTAATTTTTTCTATCCATGTGCGAAATGAATTTTGTTATGTGCACCAATATCAAGGTAATGTGCAGATGTGCACGACCCATAGAAACAAAAAACCTAGCTATAATATATATTTTTAAAAAGTTACCATAGGGATAATTATTCCAGCCAGGACAGGTTAGGCATTTTAGAACTCACTACTCAAAGAATTAAATTTAAGTGTAAGAGAGAAATAAAAATTATGAAATGCATAGACCAGTCAAAAAATTGAAATAACAGCACTTTGAAAGAATAAAATTACAGAGAATATATGAGCATTGCAGGAAGTACTGTACTAAGAAGTAACAACAACAATACAAGTATGTGTTGGGAGATGAGTGTGAAAGACAGAGTGTGTGTGAGACAGAGACACACAGGGTGTGTGTATGTGTGTGTGTGTGTGTGTGTCTGAGTGAAAGAGAGAGAGACTGTGTGTATGTGAGAGAGAGAGATGTGCGCTTCCCCATTAAGTACGCTGCCCCTTTAAGTAGATTGGCACTCACCAGTCTGAAGCCTGATTGTTCAGACACGGCAGCAGCTGCCAGTAAGCTCCATCCCATGCCTCACTCCTGAGCCCTGTTGTGTCTTCCCACCCCCATGGAGATGGGGTACAGGGGCAGGGGGAGGGGGATACTCTGACATCAGCACCCATCTCCCCTCTCACACACACCCGCTCTGCACAGTAAGCAGGAGGCTCCCGGGAACAGCTGGCCAGGGGCTCCAAGGCAGAGAGCAGGAGCAGTGTGGCGGGGGGAAAGGGCCCCTGAAGTGTGCGGCCCTTCATAGACTGCTGGGCAGCCGCGCAGCTTAGAGGAAACTTAGCTGTTAACTCATATTTAGCTTGTGATCCATTATGACCCCCAGATCCCTTTCTGCAGTACTCATTCCAAGGCAGTT